ATGAGATCGATTGACGCTATTATTGTGTTGCTGGAACGCAAATGGAATTGACTACTGAAGGATTGGGATGGTTTATGAGATGGTTGAGCCTTGTATTGTCGCCCGACGAACCTAAAGGAAGAAGAGAAGGTGAGATAGTCAAACATGATTGTTTTTATGCTAGTTGTCGTAGGGTTTGTGATAAGGAAAAGGATACCACCACAATGGAGCTACGAATACGATTTGTTGAAAATGACATCATTTTAAAGTGGCCTGGTGCTCGGATCAGTTGGTTGAATTGGCTGAATTTCTCGATTTGTTTGGGTTTTTAGGGTTTGGCCGACCCCAAGTAGATAGCCGATTGGGCCTTCCGCGCTCAGTGCGATACTCGGGTTTGTGAATAATTTGTTCAACAGGCCGAGTCAAACTCTGGTTGACAATCATGGTTATGAGTCTTGTCTTTGTTTGAAGATATATTGGTTCAAATCCCAATTTTTCTATTTTTCTTTAAATAATAAAGATAAATAATTCTAAAGACAAAAATATCATTATAATTTCACTCTCACTGTAGGAAATTTGAAATGGGCAACCATTTTCTCATTTTAATATTATATATTGTGTAGAGTGTATATGTAGACATGTCTTTACCCAACATATTCATTAACACATAAAAAGGGTGAAATGAACCAACATATTAAACTTAACCTCGTCTAATTATTGTTGAATCCAATCTTGTCGGATTAGAAAGGGGTTTAAAACTTAGCAGTTAGCAGAGTTAAAATGTTCAAAGGACCAGTCTCATATAGAGCGCACAAAGATATGAATATGATTGCTTCATAGTAGTTCTAAAAATTAATACTAATTTAAGAACTATGCATATTCAATACTAGATTTTGATATGCAATATTCGAACCATTGATATTTGAGTTTTTATTTTAAAGTTATCCTTATTTATAAGATATATAGAAATTTAAATGAAATATTAAAATAAAATGTAAATAATCACAATATAAAAATTGAAGTATTGAACATCAATAAGTACTTATCAGAATTTTACCTGACTGTCTAGCTAATCATTGAACAGTTCTGTGATTTTTCGGTTTTACCTTCATGTATGTTTTTAATCGAAAGAGATACAACAATTCAGTGTAGTGTGATTGGTTATAAGTTATAACCCTTGTCTCTGTTTGAAAGGATCAATGTTCAAATCTTGCAGGCAATCTTTACTATTATAACCCTAACTACGATTAAGGAGAACTTAGCGAATTCAAAATGGAGAAAAACACATTTACTGTTATAATGCGAACTACGGTTAAGAAAAATATAGAGAATTCAAAATGAAGAAAAACTCATGAGTAATGGCATATTATAAGACTAGCTTACTAGTGTTTTATCCGGCCCGTTGGCCGGTTTGTGGTCATTTGGGTTTTTTTTTTTAGTTAAACGTAGGTGGTTCGATTTTTAGTATTGTGCACTGGTGGTACAAAAGAGTACTTTGATAGCTTATGTTTTTAGTGCCCGTTAACTTTATAATTATATTGAATTTGTATTTGATTTTATACTTAACTATAAGAAGTTTAAGTTAGACAATGAATGAAATGAAAAACTATCTGGAATCTATATTCATGCCTTGAGATATTAAGCATCACTGAATAAAAAAATTAATTTTTTTTTATGTTCGTTATATGTGAATAATTACCTTGCAAATGAAGCTTTGAAAATTTTATTGCTATTTTAATTTAAATATAGTTGATTGTCATCTATTGAATTAAAAAGTAAATAATGTACATACTATTACTATAGATGTATTACATTTAAATAGTTTAAAGATACAAAAATTCGAGGAGAAAAAAATGTGATATGGAAATAGATTATTTGGAAAATTATGTAAAGCAAATCCAAAAATATTAGTATATATGTATTAAATTTATATTTTTGAAAGAGACAAAAATGAAAAATATCAGCAAAAGAATATTTTGACTTGAAATGACCCTTTTAAGTTATTCAATCATTTGAACTTTAGTTATCATAATTCAAACTTAACCTTTAACAATATGCTCATATTTTTAAATATTTTATTGACTATGTCCTATATTTTCAAAAGCGGAGCGGTTGTCGATGAAAAATTTCAATGACTCATGATTAATGGTTTATCATTATAAAACTATTTTTTAATCGTTAATGGAACTATTCAGATGTAAATAACAACTTAGTTAGGTTGAAGAAGCATTTAAGTTATTTCATTGGACCATATTTTACGTTTAATAATTTTCTAATAAAAACTATCTCGAATTCAAGCAATTACATAGAGTAAAAAAATTGATTTTTTTTTGTTTGATCTAATTCGACACAAATATCGAGTCGATACGATATAGATCGAATTATTGTTTAACCTACGACAAAACATGCGATCTTACCTTTCAAAATTTAATGTAAAAATTAGACATGCTAATTTGAAAATTAAAAGAATTTAAAACAATATAAATTGATTGTATTTTGCCAAGATTTCCCGTCTTTCTTCCTCTTCATGTTTGCCGAAATCACTGTGAAATTAAGATCCTAAAACTTTTGAGGGTTGATGCTTGGTTTATCTGTTTAACGTAAAACCCTAATGCGAAAAAACCTATTCCGAAGGAACCTCTTCCCAAACATCCACGCCACAAAGATATATCATCTTTATCATCTCAAAATCCAATCGCAAGCATTATCTCATTTAGGAGTTAAACAACTTTACATAGCCTCTGTTTTTTCCTTGACCACAGAAAATAAATCTACACAGAGCAAAATTCAAATAATTATTATGTAGCATTTATCTTAAAACAAATCTTCTTTTCCCTTATTCATAATCGCATTTACTAAAAAGAAAACCAAAAGTCCAATAATAATGAGTGACCCTTGAGTGTTTGAAAAATTGTCAAAGTTGCCCTTCCACCAAATAAGGAGAACCAATCGAAGTGCAAGGTGGCAACAATGACATAGAGTGAAGTGCATAATATATTGTGTAGATGTAGATAGATGTAGATAACCCGGCTCGTTGGCCGGAATGTTCATATTTGATTATTTATAATTTTATGTTAAGTTTAAGTCTATCAACCCGTTTAAATGGTTTAATTAGAGAGGGAACCATCAAGACTTGAGAGCAAACGACAAAATTAGGGTTACCTCCAATATACTAATAGACTTGATCAAAGACACAAAATTAGATACTCATTTTCTATCAGTTTCAGTAGGTTGAATAAAGAATCGACCTAATTTAGTAAATCAATCAATGATTTCTCGTTTTAAGATAGAAATAGGTTTGTGGTAGCTGCAAAAACCATAAACCTAAAGAGCCAATAGCCACCACTCTCCGTTGAACGACCAAATTTTTATCCACTCTATCTTTAATCTCAAGAGGCATATGTTCGAACCAAACAACTCCATTTCTGCTACTTTGATGGACCTTCTCTCCATGACTCTCAATTTCTTTTCCAATTGGGGTTCTTGTCAACTCGCTCTTCAACTCCTCAATCTTCTTCTTGTGTTTGCTAACTCATCTTCCTCGGGGCAGTTGTAATAAGTTCGCTAAAACCAACACTCATCTCCTGTTCCATCAATATGTTCATCTCCCCCTTGTCTGCCTTCACCCGCTTCAGTCCACTTCCTTGCCCTTCAATAACCTCTCCATTTTCATTACTATCCTCATCATCTCTCACTTCTCTCTCGTTAACTGCTCCAGTTTCACTTCCATGTCTTTCAACACTCTCCTCAATTCATTCACTACCCTCTCCAACTCCCTCTTCTCTACCTTCACCTACTGCAGTGGAACTTTACCTGCTACCAAATCCAAACACAATTTCTTCCCTCCACCACTTTCATTCTCAAACTCAATTCCAACTCTTCTACTCCAAGTTCAAATTCATAACTACTTGATTGAACTCCATTCTATTCGTCATGGATTGATATCGGATTTGAAATTTTCTATTTGCGCAGCTTAAATCCCCAAAATAAAACTATCCTGCCAAGAGAAACCAGAAGATTAATTTTCAAATGCACCCTTGTACTCGAAAGTGAAAGGGCCAAATTATTGCACAATGGAGGGACTTTCGAAGTAAGTTATAAAGAGATAAGAACAAAGATAAAAAAGCACAAAATTTAAATTTAAATTGAAAAATGCAATGACACACACATAGAAAAGAAATAGTTTCTTCCATATTAGCCAATTACAAATTTACCTAAACGAAAATTAAGTAGAACATGAATTTTAAAATGGATAAAATTACATGAAACTCTACTATGGAAATTGAAGTATTAAGCACCATAAAAATATATACGGTAGACTTAGTGGGCTTGTTGATCATGATGTAAAAGTCATTCACTTTCCAGAGTTTAACTTGGTGTATGTTGTGTATTCAAATAGAAACAACAAATTTGTTTAGTGTAATTGGTTATAATCGTTGTCTTTGTTTGAAGAGACTCGAGTTCAAATCTTGATGTTGATATTTTTTATTTGAAATAAATCATTAATTGTAAAGACAAAAATGTCCTTTCTACTTTCACTCTCGTTGCAGAAAATTTAAAATGGAGAAAATTACACAAAACTCTACCATATATTAATTGAGGATTTGTAACCGATTAATGTGAGAATCCGGGTCAGCGATATGGATAGTTGCCCGCCCGGACTAGCCCATGATTCAGGGTCAACATAGGGCCGCACAGACATTGTCCGATGAGCCCAAACTTCGAAGCCCATCTGCCAGCTAAACGGTTCATTGTATTTGTATAGGACAACGGAAAAGAAAAAGTGGGACAAATGGCGCACGAGACTAATCCGGCAACCGTAAAAACGACAGTTGCCCCGCCACGAAACGCGAGAGACAGAGAAGATTAGCCAGAGTGAAACGGCGGTGGGCCACACGTCTCATCCCTTCCCTCTCCCCCGTGAGGAGAGAGAGAACGGACTCCATTAAAGCTGGAAGAAGTAGACGAAGGAGAAGGAGACTCAGACGGACAAGGCCTACCGACTTGCGTACGGGAATTCGATGGCTACCTCCACAACCACAAGTACGCCTCCCAGGAGAAGACTAAATACCAACCCTCACGCTCGAATTCTTCACGGCGGCGCTACAACATCCTCTTCCGCATCCACTCCTTGTTCTCCCTTGAAAAAGCTGAATCTGATGGATCCCCAACAACCCCTGCCGCAGAAGCAGCCACTGGACGGCGGATCTGCGTTAGTTCGGGATTGGGCGGGTCTCTCCCCGGAGCTGCTCTCCGTGATTATGGCGCATCTCAGTCCCGCGGATCGCCTGGGGATTGCTCAGCTGGTTTGCTCCTCGTGGCGGAAGGTCTGCCGGGACCCGTACATCTGGAGATCTGTCGGCATCAGCCATTATTCCTGGGAGCGAGTTACCGATGTGGAGGCGCTCTGCGCGCAGGCCGTCGATCGGAGCTGCGGTGGTCTGGTTTCTCTGAGCTTGGAGTGCTTCGGCTCCGATAAACTCCTCGCTGACATCGCTAGCAAGTAATTCATTCTCTGCCTCCATTTCCTCTTTTTCATTTCTCTTGATCCCCGGATAATCATTTGCAATTGTCAATTGCTTGGAAAGTTTAGATCGAGCTTGAATTTAGGGTTTTGAATTGTAGGGACATCGATTAATTGAACTTCCAACTGAAATTGGATTGGAAAATTAGGGTCGCACTGTTTCTTAAGATAGGATTCCCCATCTTTTGATGGCCCTTCCCCTGTCTAGTAAACGGTATATGAATATGTAAAATCGATTTGAGCAAGCGAGTAGATACATACAACCCACCACTGGAACTTGCTTTGCTCTCGCTCTGCTCTTTCCCACTATAGTGAAAGATCTTTCACTTCACCTCGGCTGAAATCAGGCGTGTTCTTCTCATGAGGATCCAGTTTAGTGTCATCAGTGGGCAGGCATCTGTCAATTTCATTGTCAATATGTGTCAATCGCTGTAGGAATGAGGAGAAGAACAAGGGATTCTTCTAGCATCTGCTTATCAGAAACTCTGATGATTGGATATGATTCCTCCTGGAATCAGAAATTCAGTCTGCTGCAAATGTTTAATACTCTTCCACTGACTTCAATCATTTTGCTGCTTGTTTCAATCACCACTTTCCCCAGGTCAGGCCAGCTAAAACGCCTCCGACTGGTGTCCTGCCATGAAGTCTCAGACCAAGGATTCAGCACCGCAGTCCAAAAGCTTCTCTTCCTAGAAGAGCTCGAGATCTCCTACTCCGCGCTGTCAAAGGACGCATTGGTGGCTGCCGGGCAGTACTGCCCGTTCCTCAAGTCGCTGAAACTGAACCAGGCAGGGTACAGGAGGCCGCGCATAGAGAACGACAAGGAGGCAACTGCAATCGCAGAGAACATGCCTGGCCTGCGCTGCCTCCAGGTGTTCGGGAACAAGCTGACGAATCTTGGCCTCGAAGCAATCCTCAACGGCTGCAGACACCTTGAGTCTCTAGATATCCGGCAGTGCTTCAACGTGAACCTGGAAGGTGATCTGGAGAAGAGGTGTCGTCGTCAGATCAAGCAGCTGCGGTGTCCCTTCGACTCGACCGACGACTACCCCTACAATCCGGAGATCCCTGATTATGGATCGACGGATGAAGACGGGTATCCGTCGGGGTTCTCGGACCCCGAGTTGTCCACTGACGGCGAGTACTACGGGTTCTCCGGTGATAGCGAGGTCTCCGATGAGGAGTTTAATTAAGGTGGGGATTTAGCTTCTGTACCCCCCCACACAACTCGACAGAAGGGGTAGAAAGAATAGAACCCAAGCCTCCCATGGAGTGAAGTGAACGTCGTGTTTGTTATGTTTTGCCGCATGTGTATTTTAACTTGTCAGTGCTGTCACTAGCTGCAGTGGTAAGAGTTTTATTACGTGGGAAACCGGGAATCGGTTTTGTGTGCGGTTGCGATTGGGCTTGGTAAGGGGGGTATTGTTATATGGGCTTCGATGTGGATATGAGATGTTGGGCCTGTGGGAGGTGGTTGTATGCTTTTCTTGTTGTGCTTTTGATTCTGCTGGGCCTGAAGATTGATCTGCCTTACTTGGGTTACTTTGATCAATAAGGTCGATGTTGTTGAATGTATGAATGATCTGCGGTCAATTAGCCTGTGCGTGTGCGAGTTCATTTATAAGGTGATAACTAAACTGATTATAGCAAGGTTAGGTACTGTCTTACCTCATGTGGTGGGTTCTGAGCAGAACGGGTTTGTGAGGGATAGACAAATTGTCGATAATATTCTCGTAGTTCATGAGGCGATGTTTTACTTAAAGAATTGTCGTTCAGGGCGGGAGAAATTCATGGCATTGAAACTCGATATGGAAAAGGCGTACGATCGCTTGGAATGACCTTATTTGTTTGCTCTTTTTGCAGACCACTCTTATTTTTTGTTCTTGAAAGCTTTGCATCGTGATTGCCGGAATTTGCTTCAAGTGTTTCGCGAATATGAAGGCATTAGCGGCCAGCGGGTGAATTTGAGTAAGTCTGTTGTGTTTTTCAGCTCTAACAAGATGACTGCAGTTCAACAGCATCAAGGAAGCATTTTGGGAATTGGTTTCATTGGGTTCAGGATCACTATCTAGGTTTGCCATCTCAAATTGGTAAATAAAAAAGGGACACTTTCCGGTTTGTTGAGGATGCACTCCACGCAAAGCTTCAGAGCTGGAAACATCGGCCGCTTTCTCCTGCAGCAAAGGAAACATTAATAAAATCAGTAACATCAGCTCTTCCCATTTTATGTGATGAGTTGTTTCAAGCTGCCGCTCACTCTTCTTCGTCGTCTTAATGCCATTGTTGCTCGATTTTGGTGGGGAGCGGTCCAGGGACATAAGCGAATACATTGGATTGCTTGGCGAAGTTTGTGTGATGCAAATCAGAAGGCGGACTTGGTTTTCGTGACTTCGTTGCTTTTAACCAAGCCTTGTTACGTCGGGAACATTGCCACATTGGGGCTCTGAATGCGTTCTTTTCCACTAATTCGGTGCAGCTCATTACGTCGATTCCTCTGCCACGTTATCCGATATCGGATAAACGTATTTGGCACTACTATGATACTACTGGGGAATTTACTGTTCGCTCAGCTTATCATCTGGCTTTCTCGATCTCAAGGCAACCAGGTAAGCGCCTTTCAGTTTCTCCTTTTGATACTTCGACCGGGAAACGTTTATGGTGTCTCCAGTTCCATCCAAAGATTCGGTTTTTCCTCTGGAAACTGGTTCACAGAATTATCCCAACGACGGAGGGTCTTATTAGTAGGGGAAATGGACATTCCTACTGTTTTTCTGGTTTGTTCTCAAGCCGACGAATCAAATGAACATTTGTTCTTCTTCTGTCCTTTGACTATTCGACCTTTGCGCCTATCGGGTTTGGATAATCTGTTGTTCGAATGGCCAATTGGTTGAATCTCTTTGTTTCCCCTAACAGAATGAATTCAAATTCCAACGGTCTTCTCCCAATCCGTCAACGTTTTGATCCAATGACAGGAACATTGCCGTTTCATCATCGATCTCCTTCTCAAGTTGGTGCGCTGCCGTTTCATCATCCATTACTGAAGACGAGTTGCTACGTTGTCATTTTCTCTTTACTTGTTTAAGCTATATTTGCTTTATCACCCAATCAGACTTTGTTTCTTTCCAAGCTACCAGACAACTTCAATGGAAGCTTGTCTTCTTGTATGTTGCTGTGCCTATAAGAGGCGGATTTGATGAATGAAAAACAAAGAACTAGGTTTTCACTTCTTCACTCTTGTTCCTTTGTTATGGTATCACAGCCTGGGATAAAACCCTAGCCGCCGCCGCTTCTCTACAATGGATGACAATCAGGCTGAACCACCGCCACAGCCAGAACCCCAACCTCAAGATCCACAACAACAAAATGTTGTCGATCCTGCTTTTGACCCTTTCTTCCTCCATGGTTCTGAGCAACCTAGATCTCTTCTTGTTGCTGAAAAACTCACAGCAACAAATTACAATGATTGGAGCCGTGCTATGCTCAATGCTCTTGTAGCTAAAAACAACCTGGGATTCATCAACGATACAATACTTGAACCTCCAGCTACTGATGCCAGGCATGGAGCTTGGACTCGCAACAATGTCATGATTCTTAGTTGGATACAACAGTCCACCTCTTCAGAAATCCGCAAAACCATCCTCTCCAGGAAAACAGCAGCCGAAGCTTGGAAAAGTCTCCAAACATGCTATGGATCTTGAGATCTGATTAGGATTGCAGAACTTGAAGAAGCTTTATGTTCTCTGCAGCAAGGTAATCAGACTGTGACTGAATATTATGGTAGAATGATTACTCTGAAAGATGAATTAGAGAACTATCAACCTCTCCTGCCATGTTCATGTACTCCTACCTATCACAATACTTGTGTTTCAATGATAACGGTTCTCTAGTACCAAGAAACAAGTTATGTAATTAAATTTCTTAGAGGCTTCAATGAGAACTTCTCTGGTGTTAGAGAACAAGTGCTCTTTGGAGATGAGCTTCCTAATATCAACAGGGTCTTTCAAAGGATGCTTCAGCACGAAAGGCAGTTGTATGGTACTCAATCTGGAAAGCTCATAACTTCTATGCAAACAGATTCATCAGCAATGGCTTTTCAAGGGGGCAGAGGCCAAATCCCAGTTCCAAACCCCCATACTGCACTTTTTGCAGGAGAGAAGGGCACAATGAGAATATATGTTTTCAAAAACATGGTTGGCCTCCTGGCATGACAAAACCATCATCATCCACACCTGGAAATGTTCTCACTTGTTCTTATTACAAAAGAAGAGGTCACTCTGAAGACAAATGTTTTCAGAAAAATGGATACCCTGCCAACTTTGTGCCAAGGAATCCCAACTATGTTGCTGGTCGAGGAAGACATTCTGTCAATTCCATTGCACTACTACTTCACCTGATGAAGTCAAGCTCACCAGAGCTGACTATGACAAGCTCATGCGCTTGATGAATGCATCACAACCTTCCACTTCTTTCTCTGTTGCTGCCTTTGTCACCAACAAAGGTATTCTTCTCACCCTATCTTTACTGCTTTCTCTTCACACCAGACAATGTGGATAGTTGACATAGGAGCATCAGACCACATTGTATGCTCCTTATCTTATCTACAAGACCCTCAGCCCTTGACCAATGTCTACATAACCCTACCCACTGGAACAAAAGTCCAAGCAACCCATTATGGCACAGCTGCATGCAGTGATGATATTATCCTCCAAAATGCCCTGTTTGTACCCCATTTTTCCTTCAACCTACTTTCTGTGAGGAGACTCACTTCCACTACCAAACTAAGCTTATCATTTCATTCTACCATGTGTCTCATACAGGATCTAGAGCAGAAGAAGGTGATTGGTTCTGCTAGCCTTCACAATGACCTCTATTAACTTCAAGCATCAAACACCCCTAGGTTGATCACTGCTGCTTCCAGACCTCTCTTTGATCTATGGCATTTTAGACTAGGACATGTATCCCACTCTAAAATTCTCATTCTCAACCAATTTTGTACATCCATTACAACACATATGGATCAACCTTGTGATGTTTGTCATTTTGCAAAACAAAAACGTCTTTCATTTCCTGTAAGCCAGTCTGTAACTCAGTATCCCTTTGAACTACTTCATGTAGACATTTGGGGTCCTAATTCAGTTCCATCCTATGATGGCTACAAGTACGTTTTAACCATTGTGGATGACTTTTCCAGAATGACTTGGATCATTCTACTTCATCTTAAATCAGAAGCCAGACCCGAACTCATAGCCTTCTGCACACAAATACAAAGAGAGTTTAAAAAAAAATTAAAAACCATCAGGCCTGATCAGGGCCAAGAGTTCCAAATGACTGATATCTTCACCTCTACAGGCATTACTCATGAAATGTCCTGCGTTGAAACCCCTCAGCAAAATAGCAAGGTTGAAAGAAAACATCAACATATACTTGCTGTTGCTAGGGCTCTTCAATTCCAAGCACATCTACCACCAGCCTTCTGGGCAGTTGTGTTAAGCACGCCGTCCATCTCATTAATAGAGTTCCCACCTCACTTCTAGCCAACCAAACCCCATTCCAAATACTTCACAATAAATCACCAGACCTAACATAGTTAAGAGTATTTTGTTGTCTTTGCTATGCTTCCACCCTTGCCAATCATAGAATTAAGTTTCAGCCTAGAGCTAGGAAAACAATTTTCATAGTCTACAACCCTGGAATCAAAGGTTACAGAATATATGACTTAGCCTCTCATGAATTTTTTTTTACCTCAAGAGATGTGATTTTCTATGAATCATATTTTCCATTCAAACAAATTGACTCTGATGACCCATCAGACCTTCTTTTTCCAATCCCATCCCCGGACTCCATTCTCCTTCATGACACAAATTCAGTCCCTAACAACTTAACTTCCCCAATTAACCATCCAATCTCCTCTCCAATTCAATCTACTCCTGACCACAATGCCCCACCATCTCCTTCCAATTCTCCTCCCCACATCACTTCTCTCTTGCCCTCTCCTTCTCCCCCACAACCTCCTAACCCTCCACCTCAACCAAATCTCAGACGTTCAGACAGAACAGTCAAACCTCCTTCTCACCTCATCAAAAACTACCACTACTACCTAGCACAAGGTCCTAGCAGCACCAATCACCCCAATCTGCAACAGATTCAAGACAACAGGTATTCACTCTCTTCCATGATTTCATACAACAATCTCTCTGATCCATTCAAAAGATTTCTGCTAAACATTTCCAGTCATCAAGAACCACAATCTTACAAAGAGACCTCCAAGCTTGATGTTTGGAATCAAGCAATGCAGACTGAAATACAGGCTCTGATCAAAAACCACACTTGGGATGTTGTTTCACTACCACAAGGCAAGAAACCAGTTGGCAACAAGTGGATTTACAAAGACAAATTCTTATCTGATGGTTCTCTTGAAAGACATAAAGCCAGATTAGTTGCAAAAGGAAACACTCAACAATAAAGGATTGATTTCCAGGATACATTTGCACCTGTCATTAAGATGACCATTGTGATAACATTTCTGGCCATTGCTGCTCTCAGAAACTGGTACATACATCAATTGGATGTAGACAATGCATTTTTAAATGGTGACTTAGAAGAGGAAGTCTACATGACCCTGCCTAAAGGTTTTACACCTCCTGATATTTCAAACCTAGTTTGCAGACTAAGGAAGTCTCTATATGGACTCAAACAGGCGTCAAAACAATGGTTCTCTAAACTTACTGACTAACTAATTCAGTTTGGTTATATGCAAAGCAAAGCATACCACTCTCTCTTCTTCAAAGTCACAGATACCTCCTACACATGCATTCTTATATATGTTGATGACCTGGTTTTGGGAGGAAATGATACGGATGAGATTCAAGCATTAAAGGATGTTCTGCATTCTGAATTCAGCATTAAAGACCTTGAAAAACTCATATCTTTCCTTGGAATTGAAGTGGCAAGAAGCAAAGCTGGCGTACATTTATCACAACGGAAATATACACTAGAGATTCTGGAGGAAGCAAATATCATTCATTGCAAATCAGTCACCACTCCTAGGGATTACTAACTGCATCTAACCAATGAAGTGGATACCCCCTTTGAAGACCCAGAACACTACAGAACTATTGTTGGGAAGCTAATCTACCTCACCACTACCTGCCCAGACATCAGCTTCTCCACACAACAACTAAGCAGTACATGTCCAATCCCAATGTCACTCATTTCAAGGCTGCTCAACGTGTGTTGAGATATCTCAAAACTGCCCCCGCCACAGGTCTTTTCTTCCCATCACAAGGATCTTTCCATCTCAAAGCCTTCACAGACTCTGACTAGGCAGCCTGTGTAGACACAAGACGATCCACAACTAGTTTCTGCATCTACCTGGGAATTCTCTCATCTCATGGAAAAGCAAAAAACAACATACCGTTTCTCGATCTTCTTGCGAGGCAGAATATCGAGCCCTAGCCTTTACCGCCTGTGAGATTCAATGGTTTCAATATCTTCTCCAGGATTTCAGGTTTCTTCTTCCAATCCATCAACCTTGTATTGCGACAATCAGAGCGCCATCCACATTGTGAAGAATCCCACATTCCATGAAAGAATGAAACATATAGAACTCGACTGTCATTTTTTGAGGAAAAAACTGCAATTGGGATCGCTCAAGCTCTTGCACATCTCCTCAGCACATCAATTAGCTGATCTGTTCACCAAACCGCTGTCACCTGCTCCGTTTCTGTCCCTGCTCTCCAAGCTTGGTGTACGAAATCTCTGCCCACCAGCTTGCAGGGGGTAACAGAATGAATTCGAATTCCATCGGTCCTCTCCCAATCCATCAACGTTTTGATCCCATGACAGGAACATTTGTTGCGCTGCTGTTTCATCATCGATCTCTTTCTCAAGTTGGAGCGCTGTCGTTTCATCATCCATTACTGAAGACGAGTTGCTATGCTGCCGTTTTCTCTTTACTTGTTTAAGGTGTATGTGCTTTATCACCAAGTCAGACTTGGTTTCCTTTCCAAGCTACCAGACAGCTTCAATGGAAGCTTGTCTTCTTATATGTTGTTGTGCCTATAAGAGGAGGATTTGATGAATGAAAAACATAGAACTAGGTTTCCACTCCTTCACTCTTATTCCTTTGTTATCCTCGTCACTTGTTTTCTCACCCGGTGACTCCGGAGAAGGATTATCTTATTGGGCAGGTTTCCTCCCTCTTGTTGCGGATTTGGAAGAGCCGGTGCACGGTCCATTTTGATCATAAACATGTTCTATTGACTACTCTTGCTTCACAATGGCGACATCAGGTTCAGGAAGTGGATTCTGCAATCCTGCGGCCTGCTATCTCTTTGTCTAGAGGGATGACTACTCATTCTTCTCTTCCAGGGTATAGGGGTACTGCAGATTATAATCCAGCTTCTAATAGTAATACCTTTCGTTGTCCTTTGACGGTGCCACAAAATCTAATAGTGCTTCATCATCCGAATGGAGTGATCCTTCCACGCTGGCGCACAACATTATGTCAACATAGTGGAGCCTATGGTGGTGGAAGCTTTGGCTCTTCGTAATGCAATTCTTGAATGTACTGCTCGTGGATTGCAAAAGGTTCAATTTTGTGGTGACGCCAAGACATTAATTGAGAAATGCATCCAGAAATCAAGTAGTGCTGATGCAAGGGCAGGAGCTATTATATATGGCCGAGCTTGGTGTTCTTCTACATCAAAATTCTGATTACAGTATGATTTTTGTTGGTAGGAATCGGAATAGGGGAGCTCATTCGGTAGCTTGGCAAGCCCTATCTTTGTTGCCTCGATTGTTCATGATGTTCAACTTCGTTTGTTGGTTGCTTAGTCGGTGACCGTGTTTATCTGTTACTCTGTTTTCTCCGGTTATAGAGTAATCTAATGGCAAAAAAGAAAAAAAATTTTGCAAACCATAACGAACTACTATAACTCATGGTTAACATGATATTAACCAAGGGTTAGTCCTGTAAATCTATCTACCCTTAGGCATGTGTTACTGTTAGGGCAAGGCTGTTGGTAGCCCAAGTGGGGTAAGTAATGAGAGTATCTTTCTTTGTTACAACTTACAACTTAGAAGGGAGGCAGGCAGAAGATCGGATTAGAATCTGAGTTTGGGGTAGTGTGACCTAGAGAGCGTAGCGTAGGGTAGGGTGGTCAGAGGGTGCATTGATTAAAAATAAGGGCAGTCGCAGGGCTATAGTTAGGACTTTAGGACAGGACTTAGGGTTAGTGTTCTGTTGAGTTCAGTGTGGGAGAAAGAGTGAAATGATCAATTTTGAATGGGGATTGGACGGTCATATTATAGGGAGTGAGTAGCCCACGTAAGTAAGAGCCTATTGACCACACTCCAATCAATAAAGACACTACTACTAGCTTAGGGTACCATTAATGTTTTGTATTTAGTCTGCATGGATTGGAAGCCCGTCTTTACGCAGCGCTACACCAATACCGGAGAGAGGCAAGGCAACACAAAGTAGCCAACGTCCCTAACCATTATTTGTCTACCTGTCCATGAAACCGTACCGGACACCGTACCGGGAAAGTCAGGATATTTTATGACAAAATTATGGTTTAACCGTAGTTCAACCATTTATACCGTTAAATACCGCTTATCGGTTTAGCCTCCGATACTGGTATTTTGTGGTTGAACCGCCGGTACGATACGGTTTCATGGACCATGCCTACAAGTTACAACGACTACTTTTCTTGTGGTCAACTTCCAACTGCCTAATGGTACTTGAGGGAAAGGTTGCAAAATGCGACAAACCAAGGGTCTACTTACTTTCATTTCTGTTTCCTGCTTTAGTAAAAATAGGTGAAAACAACATTTTGTCGTTTTCAAAAACAATAGGAAGTTGCCACTTTCTGTTTTCATAGTTGGAAACGAATAGAAAACGGAATGAAAAATAAACAAGTTTTCTCGTTTCAGTTGTCAAATTTATGACATGAAAACATAAAATGAAAATAAAAGTGAACGGGGCCTTATAATCTATAGTAACCCCGTGATATTAACTACATTTAGCAACATATTGGTAGAAATGAGAATATGTATATATAACTATTAGTGGAGTGGTGTTGCATCTTGAACGATCGAGTTTCAACCTTATCAGCGTTAGAGTGTGTAAGTCCGAGTTATGTATGTCTTGATAGGAAGAATGTGATGCCTTTCAACAAACCTTCCCAACAGAGGTTCACATCTTTCGCGGGTAATTAGCATAAATGGTCACAAACCTTTGCACTTAGTACAAAACAGTCACAAACCTTTAATTTGTAACCATTTGATAACAAAACCTTTTCACTTGGAACAAAACGGTCACATATTAAACAGTGTGACCATTTCATACCAGTTCAAACTTTTGTTACCGTGTCGTTGCAAATTAGACTTTTGGTGACCGTTTTGTACAAATTAAGTTCAAAAGTTTGAACGCTCAATCACCATTACAATTCACTCTAGTTGTATGGTGGTTTTGTTAATGTATGTGAATGATATTCTGTTGTTTAGGATGACAATGAAAGAATTCAATGGCTCACAAACGGTTTCCAGACTGCTTTTTAGTTGAAAAACTATGTCTACTTTCTTATTTTCTTGGTATCGAAATTAAAAAGTCAACTGAGGGCATTCTTATTCGGCAAAGCAAATATGTCGATGAACACATGACCTGACATCTTATATGTCGTTCAAGTGGTTAGTCGCATATACTTAACGAACAAACTACCCGACCTCAAAACATGACAACATTTAATTTGTAACGATTCGGTAACAAACCTTTGCACTTAAAACAAAACGGTCATAAATTAAATAGTGGTGACCATTTTATACAATTTCAAAGTTCTGTTACCGTATTGTTACAAATTAAAGGTTTGTGACCATTTTGTACTAAGTGCAAAGGTTTGTTACCATTTATGCTAATTACCCCATCTTTCGCAGAAGGAAGAATCTCGTGTTTTGATTGTTGTTTTACCAAAGTTTTGTTCTCCTCCATTCCTTAACAGTATGTCAAAAGATAACCAAAATTCAACCCCCTCACATAAATGATTTTATAATATAGTATTTACGAGTTTTGATCGAAACTTTCACGTATTCGAATTTCTTGTGATTACCAATATAGATGCCTGTTTAAACATGATACACCAATCTTATGATGTGAGTATGATTGGTGGTGGGTCTATTTTGGATTTTTGGAGAACCAATTAGCACTACTACTAGAAAAATGATAATAAATTCATCATGTGAGAATATGAACCAAGTCAAATTTTAGGAAACTAATTATTGAGGAAGACATGTCTGGGGACCAAAATGGGTGCTTAATATCAATTATTAATTAATCATTCGTTGTCTCTTTTCTTTCTAATAAAAAAAAAAGAATAATTAGTTTGAAGGAGATTTTTTATAGGAAGAGAATCAAAGGCGTTGATATGTGTTGTGGGGGAGTTGGGAGGCTGGTGTGTGTCCCACATTATTCCTACTCTTCCCACATGATGTGTCGACTTCATAAGCCCAAACCGGTCCTACCAGATCTACTTTCTCCTCTCATAATCCACCCAAAAATAATATTCCCATACAATTTTAGGTAACCTGACTTTTAGCGATGATTATATTTATGAGCGACGGTTTGGTTTCGATTTTAATCGAAATCTAAATGGTTATATAGGTGTATTGGTTTCTCTTAAGTCTTAACAGATAAAAATTGGTAAGTGCTTAATAATTTCCGTTAACACTGGTAATCGTTAATAAACCAATAAAACAACAATAAGTCTTCAAGCAATCAAAGGTTCATTTTTGGTTTTTCGGTTTATTCTGACCGAAATACGTTCCAAGCTTGTCTCATTAGGATCACTATATGTTCCTAACGACACACAATACCGAATTTATGTGGTTTCCATGTTCATTAATGAACATGACTAGTCCATGGAGAACGTGAGTTCTCGACTGTTCTTTAATTAGATGATTAGGTTTTATTAGAGCTCTTAGGCGTATATGTTGTCTCTTTTATAACCTAAGCTAGCCGATCACTATCAACATTAATACACAGGATGGCAAAGTAGCATGAGATCCTCAAACTTAACAAAAAGAACATAAATCTGTCTAGGAATCTCAATACCTCCAAACCGTGGAAAGCAACGAATTCGCTAAGTTAGTCCACCAATACGATCCAAGCTTGTCTTTATTCTATAACTCTTAATCTGAGGTTTAATGGTAGATCATGTGGATACTTCGAGGTAAAGGCATTAGTCACCGGTTTCCTTTTATGATTATCTATTAAAGGGTACCCTCATTACAAAAGTCACATAATTGGTTCATTTAATTGGACTCTCATTTGGGTCCGTTATATTCTCTTCTTGGTATAGAAGTTGATGTCATCCTTCGCCCTCGAATTGAGTTTCTAACTAATCAAACTCTACTAGGTTATCATGGTTTCAGCCTCTAGCTCGTGTATGGCGATCTAAGTTCGTCCTAAATACTCGTAGCAGACCCGGCTTGCTACCATGGATCGCTTTATCACCCTTGAAAGTTGGTAGCTCGGAAGAGATAGGTAGATCTAGTACGCATTCTCCACTGTTGAGTAAATTTCAACAAAATTCTCACTTATGTTTTTTTCGATTCAAATACTCTGAAAGAAATTCAATCTTATTTAGTCCCCATAAAAGGAGCTTCCTTTGTGGCTCCCAATGTGAAATTAGGTATTAGAGCTGAATTTGGTGAAAACCCGCAAGGGATTTTGGTGCCTCAAGGGCGTATATATATACCAAAGCTTAAACACTCTATACAAGCTCAATGTTTGTCTTTAACAGTAACAAACAGTAAATCAAACTAACTACAAATGGGAAAGAGACATCTGTACAAGTACAGTAAAAACGGAAGGGATGGAGCGCTTAAATGAGACGCCGACGTCTTGAATCAACTCCTCAATTGCTTCTGAATAAAACGACTATGTTCCATGAGCTCGTTAAGCTTCCACCATATTCAAACAAACCCAGCTCCTCTGTTCTTCACCTTCAGTTCCTTTCTGCAAACTGTAATACCCTCCCTCAAGCTGACAGATACATGTTGTATATGTTCAACTTGGATAGTAGGAACTGAAGTCTATACATGCTAAGTCCCTTCGTGAATAGATCTGCAACTTGGTTTTTAGTGTCAAGGTGAATTAGACTGATGAGCTTGGATTGTAAGAATTGTCGAACCACATGACAATCGATCTCTATGTGCTTTGTCCTTTCGTGGAACACAGGATTCTCGGCTATGTACATAGCAGATCGATTGTCACAATAGAGCTGTACAGGTTGTGGATGAACAATGGAAAGTTCCTGTAACAGTCTCTTAACCCAAACAAATTTACAAGTGAGTTGAGCAAGAGCTCTATACTTAGCCTCAGAGGAAGAACGAGAAACAGTTCCCTACTTCTTAGATTTCCAGATAATTAGAGATTTTCCAATCGAAATGCAGTAACCAGTGGTGGACCTTCTAGTATCTGGGCATGATGCCCAATCAAAGTCACAATACCCTCTAAGAAGAAGATCTGATTGTGTTGGATAGAGTAAGCCCTGACCTGGTGCATTCTTTAAGTACTTAAGAATCCTGTATGCAAGTTGTAGATGAGATGATGTAGGAGCATTCTGGTGCCGACAAAGTTGTTGAACAGCAAAAGTGATCTCAGGACGAGTGATGGTAAGGTAGTGTAATCTACCAATGATCTTCCTGTACAAGCTAGGATCATCAAGAAGGGGTCCATCATCTGCATACAGATATGTCTTCATGTCAATTGGAGTAACCACTGGCTTGCAATAAGCAAACCAGTGTCCTGTAGCAAATCAATGCAGTACTTGCGTTGACATAGATGTAAACCCTCCCTTGATCTAGCAATCTCTAAACCCAGAAAGTAGTGGAGGTTGCCTAGATCACGAATTTTGAATTGAGTCTTGAGAAATGCTTTCAAAGCTTCCATGCCCTTAACATCATCTCCTGCTATGATGATATCATCAACATAGACCAGTAAAGCTGAGGTACCATCTTGTCCATGATGTGCAAAGAGATAATAATCACTATTGGACTGAGAATAACCAAAAGTGATCAGAGCTGATGTCAACTTAGAAACCCATTGACAAGGGGCATGTTTTAACCCATATAAAGACTTCTTAAGCTTGAAGACATGACCTGGTTGAGTGAAACCAGGTGGCAAATCCATGTAAACCTCTTCTTCGAGATCTCCATGCAAAAATGCATTACTAACATCTAACTGGGACATGTTCCCATTCTTAGCAGAGGCAATGGCAAGAAGAGTTTTGATAGTATTCAGCTTAGCAACAGGAGAATAGGTTCTCTAAGAAGTCAATACCATATATTTGTGTGTAACCCTTTGCCACCAAGTGTGCCTTATACCTTTCCACTGATCCATCAGGGTTGAACTTGATAGTGAACACCCATCTATTCCCAATTGGTCTTCTCCCTTCAGGACATGGAACAACATCCCATGTGTTGTTAGCCAACAAGGCTTTAATTTCCAGAATCATGGCATCCCTCCATTTGCTGTCTTGCATTGCTTCCTCAAAAGATCCTAGAATCCAATG